CAGTCCCTACCATTCCCTCTCATCACCTTTATCTCTCTTCCCTTTCTCAACCAAACTCAAAGAAAATGCTACTGTCAAGATACTATTAGGAAACACCCTGTGTTCCGGAGCTAAGGCCCAGCAAGCAAACCGTGCCCTGAACTTGGCATAACAACAATCCTTTGCACTCACCCTTTGGATGATCTCAGCCATAGCAAAATCCCAGAATTGTTTCATTTGATTATTATATTGCTTTGACTAGCACCAGGTGTTCCCTGAGCCCAGATAAGCACCTGCAGTATCCACATCCCGGTCATGAAGCCCGGCTATGAATCAAACTTGTCTCATTGTTGCTGTTCCCCGTCATTGTCAGGGCTAGAGCTCACTGTGTAGTCATTGGTATATGTATTGAGATTTGCCCGGAGGAGAGGGAGAGAGCAGCACATGTGTCTAGTTTCCTTCCTTGCTTGCAAACCATTTCTCTCACTATAGAAAATAAACTTTTGTCTTCATCTCTGCACAGTTGCTCTTGCCTGCTCTGTCTATTCAGCTCCAGCCTCCACAGACCAAGAGGTCTGTGGTCCAGTTGACACTACCTATACTTACTGCTTATACTTCCACTCTTTTCACTTTTTAATCCATTTCAAACTGACATCCAAAATCATCACACACCTAAAACTATGCTCTGCAAAAAGTTGCCAGATCTGATGGGCTTTTATCAATTGTCATCCTCCTTGACCTCTCTGCAGATTGACCCTGTTAACCACTCTTCCCTCCTAGGTAAACTATCCCCTTTGGGTTTAAGCATCATTACTCTCTCTTGGTTCTCCTAATTGTATAACTGTCACTTCACAGTCTCCTTTGCTGGTTCATTATACATATTATACCCGCCAACAATGACTTTATACCAAGGTTCTATCCTGGACCTTCTTCTCTTCTCTCTATATTCCCTCATGTGGTGACTTCATCAATTTCTAGTAGTTTTAGCTACTTAAAACTTTATGTAGATATCTCTTAGAATTATATACCTAAACTTTATCTCTCTCTTGAGCTCCTGTCCCAAATGACCAAGGGTCTACGGCACATTCTGAACTGCATTATCATAGGAATCTCAAATTTAACATGTGTACAATAGAATTTGTTGTTGTTTTTCCAAAACCTGCCCCTTTCCCAAACATCCTTATTTCTCTGAAGGGCAGTTATCCTCCCAAGCAGTCATCCTTCAAATCTCAGTGTGGTCCTTGATTTCTCATTCACTACACAAATCCAGTCAATTGCCAAATCTTTCTGTCTCCATATCTCCTCTTTCTTCTCTCCCCTTTCCCCCTCTATACAACCACCACTACCCACCCCAGTTCAGACCTTCATAACATCTACGCTGAATTACTATAAATAGTCTATCAACTGAGCTTCATCTCATCTTTTCATCTGCTAATTCATTCTCCACTCAGCTACCAAAGAGATTTTCCTGAAGTGCTTGTCTGACCTTGTCATTCCTCTACTTAATAAATGCTAATATCCCTCTCTTATGCCTACTCATAAATATGAACTCCTCTCTTTAGTATTCAGTACCCTTACAACCAGGCCCTAGCATACCTTTCTAGACTTTTTTTTCTTTTTTTCTTTTTTGACCTAGGCAAGTGACTTGCCCAGGGTCACATAGCTAGTAAGTGTTATGTGTCTGAGGCTGAATTTGAACTCAGGCCCTCCTGAATCCAGAGCCGGTGCTCTATCCACTGCCCCGCCTAGCTGCCGCTCTTTCTAGATTTTTAATACATTATTCCCTTTAAAATAAGCTACAGTGAAGTCAAACCAACTTTCTTATTGTTGCTGATACATGATACTCCATTTCTCATTTCATGCCTTTGCACTGGCTATATCCCATGCCTGGAATCCACTTTCTCTTCTGATTCTTAAAATGTGGTTTCCCTCAAATCTCAACTCAAATATTACCTTCCATGTGAAGCCTGGCTAAATTCTCCCAGCTGTCTTCTGTCACAAATCACCTCATATCTAGTTTGTATATAATACTAAATATTTGTATATAGAAGACCCTGATTTGCTAAACTGTGGTACCTCCCACAGAGCTAGACATACATTATGTCTCTTTTCTATGGAATATGTGAGCCGGAGCTTAGAGAGGTAAAGAAAGAAATTCCTTCCCCCAAGTCTGCTGAAAGTTTATGGAAAATAAAGCACTTTTTTCTTTGTTCACAGAAAAGATTCTCTAGAGGACAGAAAGCATCAAGGGAAGCCTATCTGTTAATGGGTTTGATTTTTTATCAGGTATCCATAATTCCTATATCCTTTGATGATTCCCTGTAAAAACAGAATTAACACTACTGTTGTCTGAGAGTAGTCATTCTCAGCAGAATCAGAAACCCAAATATGTTTACTCTGTTTGCCTTTACACCAAGATTACCCCTCCACTATATGCACCTATTCGATTATTCAGCTAAGAATATACATACATATGCATATAGAAGGATAGAGAGAAAGATAGAGATTTATAATACTGGTCATGTGGCAAAATTTGCTTCTAGAAACAATCAATTTCTCTAAGATTCCATACCATATTGCCAAAGGTAGCAATCTGTGTTGTTCAAAACATTTGATGGAACAATTATCCATATCATTTACCACCATTACCAAAAGGAAGGGCATCTCCCTTTCCCTCAGTCTTTTCACACTATTGATTCTCTTTCTTCTTGGCATCTCCCAAGATTCAGACATGCTGGCACCTTCAATAGTATTATACAACTCATTAAGAAGCCTTAGGGCTAAAAAAAGATTATGGACTTTATAATTATGCCCAAACAACACCAATGTAACTTGGGACATTCAACAATAACTGAACTGCCTGGACTCACTGTTTTGAAAAAGCAGGAATAAGGGATAATCTACTTGAAGACTGAATACATTTCAAAATTTAACTGACTTTCCATGCCCTGAAATAAAAATTAATCCCACTTTACTTGACCAAATGATTATATCACCTCCTTTTATTAAATTTCTGAAGAAGAAACTATTTAATTCCATATTTATTAGGCACCCATTACATGCATAACACTGTGCTAAGATGTAGCTACAAAAATGAAAATGGCACAGTCACTATTTCCAGTTTTAGTAGAGATATAATACACATACACAAATAATGAGTAGTTAGAGACCAGAGAATATGAGATATCAAATAGTGATACATGAAAAATTCAGGGAAGCAGGGATCTCTTTAACAGTTGGTGAGTAGTAGTGGTGCTAGAGGTATAGGGGAGTGAGAGAGAATATTATCACAAAAGACTTCATAGAGCAAAGGAAACTTGAGCTGGTTCTTGTGGAAAGAAATGATTTCAACATGTAGATATGGGGGAAAATTCTCAAAGCAACAAATTTGAATAAAAGCATATTCCTGAGGCAGATAGATTCTCCCCCCCAACTATCCCATGATAAGGCTCAAACTTCTCAAACTATTTAAATTAGACACTACTTATTTTCTACATTCAGTTTGCTCATCAAACTCAGTTATTAATTACACATTTCTTGAATAAATGCAATTTTCCAAGTAATATGACTACAAAAATATGTCATCTTCAAAATCATAAAAATGAGTCCAATACCATGATCTCCAACTGTTCTTGATTTTAGATTCATTCTTGTGTAGAATGGCTTCAAAGACTAAGAAAAAGGGTATTTTATTAGTTGCCCCAAAAGCAATCAGGAAGATATTTCAGTAAACTTACTGCAATAACAAAGGGGAGACCATTCAGCAGCCATAAGTCAGATATGTACTTTGATTTTTTTTTAGAGGTGCAAGTAAAAAGTATACACTGATCTAGCCACCCTCTCTCCATGGTCGACTAGCTCATGATTAGAGATCCATGCTAATGAGACAAAGGTCCTAGGTTTCATCATCATGTGGTCCTGTTAGCACTGCTTCTGTGCCATGGCAACCAAAAGCCCTTTGACCCTGGCTAGACAGCTCACAAATTGGTGCCAAAAATGACAACAGGGAACAGATGAGAGTGTGGACAAATCCTACTGTTTTAATATCACTATTGGAAAGAGAAATGGATGTGCATGACTAGCTGATGGTAGGCTGATATTACAAATTAAAGAACATCATTATTATCCCACATAAATCCCTGGCTATCTTCTGTAATTCATTAATAATCAAATTTCCCTTGAAAATGAAATATATAACATAGAAAAATCTTGGCCTAGATTCTTCAGAAACACTATGGACATAATTACTTTAAATTTGACATAATTTGGGTAAAAGTAGTTTGTCATTTGTAAAAGGCTTAAAATTGAATTTATTGTTCCATACATACTATTCATTGACAAACATTAGAAGCTGGAGACATTCAGGAATATTGAATAGGCTCAGCTCAAAAGTTGCCTCCTAAACAAAGCCTTTCCTGTTCCTCTAGCTCCTAGTGAATGCTCGCTCATTCTCTCTCTCTCCCTCTCTCTCTCTCTCTCTCTCTCACACACACACACACACACACATATACACACACATATATACACATATATGTACACACACATATATATGTACACACACACATATATATACATACATATATATATACCTTAAATTATTATGTGTATAAATCCTTTACCCAATCAGAATGTAAGCTCTTTGAGGGTAAAAGCTGTTTTTTGTTTTCTCTTTGGACCCCCAGTGCCTAGCAACATGTCTTGCACATAGTAATTATATAAACAGTGCTTGTTGAATTTAAATGAATAAAAGTAAGCTTAAAGGAGATTTTGGAACAATTTACTTTACACAAAGTCAATAGGCTAAAAGGAATTTTAGTTCTTAACCTTAATGACATGTCAAATAAGAGAAATCAACTGTAATTATATGCCTGTCCAGGTATGAAAATAAATAGAACTTGAATTAGTAGCATTGATAATTCCAATTTATTTAATAAGAAACAAAATTTTAGTCCAAGACAGGCTAATCATCTAATGATGAATTTCTCTAAGAAAACAGAATGCAAAAACTTAAAAGTTCTTACCATTGTAAGAGTAAATGGATGGTTTTCTAGTGCAGACACTCTTGGGCAGTGAAGAATAATATACTGGAAGGAAGCAATGCAACAAAAATAAGAAAAATAAAGTTCAAATATTTCAATATTTTCAAAAATTAAAATTTAAAAACATTCTTGCTAGATTATTTGGAATAACTCACCTGGCCAGGTCTGGCTTTAAAATTTTCCTTGATCATTTGAACTTCCATGACATCTGATGGATGGCTGATGACTGAAATGATTGTCACAGGCTTATTACTCCTAATGCACCTGTAAAGCCTTTCAGCACAATAGAGGCACAATGGTAATGAAATCCAAAGCCAAGTCTAAACGAAAATAAGAAAAAAGAGAAAAGAAAAATACTTCAGAAACACTCATATTTCTATCCCCTTATCATAAACCCTTTGTAAAATGTTTCAAATTATGAATATAGAGAATCTAAAAATTATAAAGAAATGAAATTAGTCCAATAATCTTAATTGTGAAATGTTGGCTGCCACCCAAAGGACTCATTTTAATGGTCACTCTCCAACATCTTTAAGTAGGACGTCTGTACTCTGTTAAGCCATTTGACATTTACTACCTCATTTGAACTTTACAAGTACTCTGTAAGGTAGGTGTTGTAGATATTATTATCCCAGTTTTGAAGTTATGGACACTCAGACTCAAAGAAGTTGTGTCTTGCTTAGAGTCACCAAGCTACTAATTGTAAGAGGAAGGATGAATCCACATCTCATATGATTGCAAGCTCTTCCTTTAGATCATGCCCCTTTCATACTCTTCTTTTCTATCTATCCCTCTTTCTCAACTCTTTCAACATCCTAAATAAGTATTTCCTTTATTCTAAAACACAATGCTTTTTATGGAAAAAAAACTGCTCCAGTGACCTAATTCATTACCAGAGAGTCCTCAAATACACCCAGGCTTTCATAGCATATTAATAGATACTACACTATCTCCTTGGCATAGATTTAAAAACATAGCATGCAAATATGCTTTGAGGAAACACTTTTAATTCAAATGAGCAATACTGTATTAACTGCCTACCATATACAAGTCATGGGATGTGGGGCTTCAAAATGCCAACAAGTATTAAAAAAGGTTTCAGAAATGTTTATTACTTGATGAAATACATATGTTAATTATATATATTTATGTACCTTGTTTCTACTACACACACACACACACACACACACACACACACACACACACTTTGTTGTTGTAGTTCATCACTCATTTTGGGAGAGGACCAATGATATCATGGGTGGTCTTGACCTGCACTTGAATTGGATTTAAGTGAGGCAGAGCTGCACAAAGTCCTTCCTGTCTTACACACATACATGTATATTTTAGATAGACATAAAATGTATAGTTAGATATAGATAAGAATACAGATATAGATGAGATAGAGATGGAGATAGATTATACACTAGAAGAAGTGTAGGACATATCCTTTGTGGAGGCAAATTTCATCATGTCCTACATCCCTGGAGATTATTTTCACATACACACTTTAATTAATTCAATGGCATTTCTTTGAGTGATAGAGTGAAATGTAACCATTTATACTGATTTCTTATAATTTCAAAGTATGTAAATGGAAAGTTGTACTTCACATGGACCCCTGAGACTTAGTATCATGGGAATTATGACTGGTAATATCTCAAAATAAGAGTCTACTTTATTCACAAGGAAATGCATAGAAAAAAAGAGCGTCAAGTGCCAGTATATAGAAAGTTAGAAATTCCAGAAACCAAAGAAGGGAAAAATGCTAAAGGCCAAATAAGTGGAGGTCAGTGGTGGCAAAAAGAGAAATGTGCTTATTGTAGAAGTATATGGCACATATATATAAGGAAAAAAATTAGAAAAGGGTTTCTAGAAACAAATCACAAATGTGATATGGAGGCTTCATCATATATTAATATGGAACTTGAATTATATTGTTATCTCTTCAAGTTCTTTTTCTTCCAAAAGTGGAGAGGCTGAGAAAGTCACTATTTTCCTTGAAGAACAATTCAAAAAAATGGAGGAAGTAATGAGGGTAACAGCTATTCTGGACCTGAATCCAGCCAACAACCATTTGCAGAAATACAAATGAAAAGAATTTAGAAGGCAAACGAGCACTTTACTGCAGAATTTGTCATAGTAAAAAGCAGAAATCCAGGAGTAATCTGGTATTTATCCTAGATCTGGTGCAATCAGATTAAAAAGGGCACAGAGAAAGAATAAGTAGGATGCAATGAACTAATAAATTTCTGGAGAGGAAGTTAGCTGCAGTAAGATGGGAAGCTCTCAACAAAAATTTTGAAGATACGAGGAAAATTTATTCCAATGACAAGAAGGAACTAGTTAAAATATCTGATGTGCTGCACAATGAACTCATCAACCAACTTAGTGTTTTACAAGGAATATATGGAAGCCAAGAGAAGTATCAAAGTATGAATACAAATAAGCAGCACTTTCTTATAAGGACACTGTAAGGAATACTTATGCTTAAAGTGATGTCAGGCTGGCAAAGAATGTTAAGAACAATGAAAATGAGTCTTTTCTTTAAGAGGACAAAAAGGGACAATCCACTAAAAGTTATGGGTGAGGTGATGATAAGACTGAACTACTTAATATCTGTTTTGTTCCTGTTTTCTCTTTCAAGTATAATGACCTTAGAACTGGAAAATATGAATAACAATGCTTAATAGGAGGTGGAAATCCAGTATATGTGAAGAAGTAGCATCTTACTGTCTTCGGTGAATTAAAATCAGTAGGCACAAATTAATTACATTTCAAGGAATTGAAATAAATGGCAGATATGATTGCTGAATAATTACTAATGACCACTGAAATATCTTAAAGAAAGTATTCCTGGTGTAGGCGTGGAGGAGATCAAATGTCTTAATTTCCCAAAAAGAAAAAAAAAACCTCAAAATCTGAACAGAAGTGGGTATAAGATGTAAATTATAGGTCAATGAGCCTGACTTAAATACTTGGTAAAATTATGAAACATATTATTGAACAGGTTACTTATGATTATTTAAAAAAAGAAATTAGTGGTCACTTAAAGTCACCATGGGCAATTGCTTCCCAGATATTTCTTTTCCTCTAACTGCCCTCTGCAATGGCCTCCCAACATCTTGACCTGGCCACCATTACCAATGAGCCAGCTAAGTGGCACAGCAAACAGAATGCTGGACCTAGAGGCAGGAAAACTTGAGTTCAAATCTGGTTTCAGATATTTACAAACTATGTTACCCTGGACAAGTAATTTAGTTTCTGGCTGCCTTAGTTTCTTTTACTGTAAAATGGGAACAATAATAGAACCTACCTCACATGACTGTTCTTAGAATCAAATGAGATAGCATTACTAATATACTTAGTATAATGTCTAACACATAGTAGGCACTTAATAAATACTCATTCCCTTTGCCCAACCCACTTCCCCACAAAAAGGCTAGTGCCAGGGGGCAGGGGGAAAATGGAAAGATATTACAGCAAGAATTGATGGCCCTACTGTTGTTTAGATTCAAAAGAATTGCTACCTTCTCATAGTCAATCTTTTCAAATGAGTTGTCACCTCATATGGAGCAAAGTTAAGTAAATAAAGATGTACAGTACAAACTTTCTATATAGTTTCCCAGTGGTTACTGTGGTAATGCTCTTATTTTCAAGTTTGTCATACTCTGTTACCATCCAAAAACAAACACGAAAAGTAATCTGCTTGAACATCCTCAAAAAAAGTGGTTAGCCCTGTATGAGGTCAGGACACCCTCTTGCTTATCCAGTACATGCTGGGAGAACTGAACATTGATAACTTGTTATACATACATGCTTCTGAGCTCCTGGAAAACTAGATAGCTTTTGAAAAAAATAAATGCTGGAAACCCACATGATGCACACAACTAGACAAGAGCCCTGATTCTGATTGACCAGCCTCCCTTCCTTTCATCTTATCTGTATATGCGGTTATATGTATATCTTCACAAACACACACTCCTATCACCTCTCTTCTCCTTCATCTGAACATGATTTTGTATCACAGACGGTTTCCCTTTTCTTGCATTTTCTTTTTTAAAAAATGTCACCAGTCCCTCCTGTTATTATTGATGTATAAATAAATTTAGCTTAAAAGAAAGTAAAGTAAAATAAAAGTTAACATTAGCTTTGCTTCATCAAGAACATGCCATGCCAAATCAACTATTTACTTTTTTTTTGGACAATTATAACTAGTCTGGGAGAATAGAGGAATGTTAAATGCTCAGCATACACAAATTACAGCAAAGCACATGAGAAGTATTCTACTTCTATTCTTCTGAATGAAACAGAGAGAAAAGATGACTGAAATCAAAAACTTAGGGAAAAGTCTTTAGCTTACATATTAGATGACCAAATCAGAGCCTAAAATCCTGACAAGCTAGAGCAATTAGATAAATCTCATAAGATGAAATTTAATATATATAAATGTATCATGCATTTTACATTTGGATAAAAAACTCATTTTTAAATTCAATTCAACATCTATTAAGGTCCCATTATGTATCTGAATGAACCTATGCTAGAAAATGGGATGCAAAGACCAAATTAAAATAGTGCCTGACTTCAAGGACCTTATATCTTAGTGGGTAGGGGAGGGATGAGAGGTGGAAGTACAGCATATACAAGGGATTACACACAGGCAAACAACTACGAGGTAATTTGAAGAGAGAGAAAACTTTACCCTGAAGAGACAGGAAAGTTATCTTGCAATATTTGACACCTGAGCTAAGTCTTCAGGGAAGATAAAAATCCTGAAAGGAATGAATTCCAAACTTGTGCCAATTCTCTAATGGAAATGGAATATCAAATCCAAGGTGCAAGGAGTAGGCCAATTTCACTGTGTTGTAAAGTACTTGAAGAGAAGTAATATGAGATAAGTCTGGAAGAGTAGATTAGAACCAGATTAAAGAGTAGGTTACAGCCTTAAACACGATGGTAAAAAGTTTATGTTTTATTGTAGAGGAAATAGGAAGTCATAGAAGGATTATGAGCAGGAGAGTACCACCACCACTGTCATATCTGTACCTTGGGAGTATTATTTCAGTAGCTGTGTGAGGATGAATTAAAGAGAAGATGAAGTGAAGTAAGGGAATCAATAAAGAGTCACAAGAATATAGGTGAAAGGATGAAGGACAAGGCAAAAGAAAGGAAGAGAATTATGCAAACTATGTTGTGGAGTAGAGTCAACAATGCTTGGCAACTAAGTGAATGTTGGAATTGAGGGATAAAGAGAAGTTAAGAATGATTCCATAATTATAAACCATGATGACAAAGAGGATAGTAGTATCCACCACAGAAATTGGGAAGTTTGGAAGAGGGACGGGTTAAGAAGAAAAGGAGTTCCATTTTGGATAAATTGAGTTTGATGTGCCAGTGGGATATCCAGATAAAAATTTCACTTAACTTTTATTTTATTTTTTCTCAATTACATGGAAACAAAATGCTTACAATTCATTTAATAAAAATTTGAGCTCCAAATTCTTTCCTTTGCTTGCTTTTCTCCCTTCTACTCAGTCTCTATTCTAAAGGAAGTTACATCTTAATAGATTTAAAGCTGGAAAGTATCTTATAAGCTCTCCAATCTAAGCCCTTCCTTTTACAAATAGGGAATCTGAGGAACAGAAAGGTTAAGTGTCTTGCTCATGGTCATGGAGAAAGTTTCTGAGGCAGGATTTGAACCTAGGTCTTCCTGTCTGTAAATCTAATGTCCTCTCCATTAAACCATACTGTCTATCAATGACAGGATGTATTCTGTAAAAAAAAAATAGTCCCAAAGGAAGAGGGAGAAAATGACATCAAGTACAGAAGTAGAGAGTTTAGCCTTAGTGAGCAGATGGATGGAGGAGAGAATGTGTGATGCTGCTCATGATCTTGAGGAATGGAAAAACATTATTTGAGAGATCTCCCTTTTAATAACCAATATTGTCATCTGCCTTAGGTTGACTATACAGCAGGAAACTTGAAGAGACAAGAAAAGATTTGGCACAGTCAATGAGGGGAATGAGGGAGTCGATGAAGTAAAGCTAAAGGACCGTCAGGTGGTAAAGAAAGAGACTAGTATTGGAAATTAACCAGTAAACACTGTTGTGTGCCAAGCACTACATTAGGTATTAAGGAAAGAAAGACAGAAAGGAAATAATCCCTTCCTTCAAAGAACTCACAGGCAATATGTACACCTATAAATGTGCTTCTATTTATCTATGGATAGATAGATAGATAGATAGATAGATAGATAGATAGATAGATAGAT